GTGTCAGCACATGTAAGACACGTGAGGCAACAACATGCCTGTATTTTTCTTTTTCCCGTCGTTCACAACTTCTATCACCTCTCAAATAACTATTTTTGAGATAGCCTTGATAAGAAACTATTGAAAATCATGTATCAAAAATGGTATGATTTACTTGGCATATCAATAGCTGGCTACGGCTGAGTGATGTTGAGACCTTGCTATCAGTTAAAATCAGCTCAGCCTTGGGAGAAACACCCTGAGCTATCCCTGTCAACGGTGGGCTCCTACCCATGAGATTGGGCTTCAAGAATACCACAATCGCAATTCCTTTTTTACCTAATTCATCCTGCCTTGGTCATATCCGTGACATTTGAGTCAGAGCTCCTTCTAGTGGAACAAACTGTACACCGTATGTATTCCCAAAATTCGGGCAAGACAAACCCCATTAAAGTGGATTAAGGGCTGATAGAAGCGTTGAGATTTTGTGAAGCCTCTCGTCATCCAGACTTCAGAGCAATGCTCGGTTTGTGCCAGGTTCACAACGGCGTCGCGGCCACCAAATCTGCTCCTTGCCTGCCGGAGCAGCCGCCAATAATGCTAAACTGCCCGGCTGTATTCCCCGAATGACGGATCCACAAGCACCTTAACTTCATCTATGTCCACGGAAGACTGATAACAAGTGTCTGGCAATACGTTTCCATAATGATGTCAGCTTAGAGTCTTACCAGGAACACACGTACAACAGGAATGGATTCCGAGAGGAACGTAATCATTATCATTGGAAGCTCAATGCGATGGAAGGGCAGACAACACATGACACACGTGTTCCTTGGCCCCGGTGGCGATACCTAAGCTCGTGTACGGAGATTTAGATTGGCGAGCTCCAGGCCCATATTGTAACTCTAGATCATTGTACGCTATTACCGGTGGTTGAATATGCAATACAACAATCTTCTTTGCTTATCCTTTGGGCTAGGAATCAAGTTAGACTAAAGCCCAGCATTTTCTTTTCAATGACTATTAAAATGGGACAAGGAAACAAATGAGATGGGCAACCTACCACTCATTTCATGAGCTCCATACTATAGATCCTACGTTTCGTTAGTAGCTAAAGGGTGTCAAGCACTAATAACCGTAGACTTGCCAAGTCTGAGAGAAGCAGTTCAAGAAACTTGATCCCGAGAATGAGGGGGGTTTATCTCGACTAGGGCTCCATATAACTTTGCATACAGTCAGTCACTCGTGAGAATACTCAATGTCGCTAATGCATTTTCATTCACTAGCTAGGAATTATCTACTACGGGTGGTCGAACGCATGCCTTGTTCTATACCTGGAAAGAAACGGCGTTGAAGTTGACATTTCCAGTCGAAGGGCAGGCGTCCGTGATGGCAGGACCAGTGGCTGAAAGGCCGTTGAAGGAGACTGTCACATCTCCGGTACGGCCGTTGAGAGGAACCTTGTAGTGATAAGCCTTGCCAATCTGGTTGATGGCAGAAGCGGTGGTTGTGACGCCGCCGATAGTGATGTCGACGGTCCCGGGCTCGTTGCGCAGGGCAATGACAGACACAACATCTTCGGTGCCCAGAGCTGCGGACTGAAAGCCGCCTTGTCCCCACACGGCGCCTAATTTGGTTTCAACATTAGCCAGTGTTCTTTAACTATACCCAGCATAATGTGGGTGGATATAAGAGAAGTTTATAGTAACTTACCGCCATCGCCACAGACGTTCTTGGGGGTTGTACGGTACCAGACAGCCGCGCCCTCGGAATCAATGTTGATACCATCAGTGGTTCCAGCCTTGTAAGAGTTGATAAAGTAGGGCAGAACAAAGCGGAGAGCTGTATGGTCGTGACCGTTGACGTATGCTTCGGCGCCAGAGACAATTTGGTGGGCGACAGGGGCCTTGAGGTAGCTCGATTCGCTGTAGTCGTTCCAGGTGATGATCTGGATCAGACTTGGCATAACCTCTTGGGTCATCTTGAGACGGTCGAACCAGAGAGAGTCGCTAGATGAATACCAGGTTTTACCCCAGTTAGGCAGGTCTGTGAAAGTTCAGTCAGAAATGATTCTTTGACAAAGTCCTCGCAGAGAGGGTATTGAGATGCGTGTACTTACCAACATAGAAGTAGGGGCTGACACCCATCATGTACGCCTTGTCGCCCAAGACTTGTTGGTAATCCCGGTCTTCAGTCGGGAACATGATCTGTCCATTGGCCTTGGGCCAAGCATTCCAGCTAACTGAGCAAGCGAAACAGAATTAGCCTCAAAATTTGTAACGGGAGGTCAGGGGAAGATGGGAAGCTAGGATTGAATGATAGGACACTTACAAGCTCCATCAATCTTGTCCAACTGAGTGGCAACACCGGCTGGGCCTATGGAACCCCATTCGGGGACAAGGAAGATACCACCAGTGCCAGAGCGAACTGCAGCCCAGTTATCGGCCCAGGCAACGCCTCCAAAGGTAGACACAAACGGAAGGCCATCGACATTGAAGTAGCTTGAGCGTCCCTTCCAGGAGTTAATCCAGCTAGTCACCTGATCGACCGACCAGTTATATTGGTCACCCATATCGAAAGAGATGAAGAGTTTAAAGCCCGCAGCGTCGGCAGCGTTGAAGGCATTCGCCAGCTGATCAGCATTCCAAGCATCGTCCGGGCCGGCGTTCAAGGCGAAACCGTCGATTCCGGATCCCTTGGCGTCGTTGATCTCGGTTTGCCATTCTTCGTAGCTCTGGCCGCTGGTGAGGCCAAGCATGTAGTGGGCGAAAGCCGAGCGAGGGACATTAGCTCTGGTTTGGAGAGTTGATGTAGGTTGAGCGGTGAAATCTGTAGGCAGGGCAGATGCCAGGCCTGTGAACGCCACGAGAGCGGCTGCAACAGATTTGAGGAGCATTATGGCCAGTATGCGGTGTACGTAAATGGGGTGGTCCAAAACTCTCGTCTAGGACAGCTGCGGGAAGAGAGCGGGTGTTTATATATGAGCATTGAGGGTCCTGATACCTTACAAGGCGGCATAAGGCGGCAGGGCATCAGCCAGGATTGCCAGTCCGCCCACGTTTCTTTCACGAGACTTGCCATATGGCCCACGTGAACTACCGTAAGCTAGCATGCAGGAACCGATCTAAGTTTAACCATCTTGGGATGCATTGCATGGTTTCAGGTGTCGACGACGGTGAGATACCCAGTAATTGTGGTCCCGTCAGCGAATTGGCAAGCGAGGAACAGGGCTATTAATAATTAAATTAATGTCTTCCAAACTTGCAGAAAATGCGCTGAATGCATCCTTTCTCGGTATTAAGCCAATAAGGCCCCATCAATGCCCAGCCTTATACCCTGCTGATTGCCTGACTCGTACACATACGATGTCAGGGTACGGCCCTCGAGAGTGTGGATTGATGGCCGTCTCTCTCCACATCGTAGTTAGATTCTGAGGCTCCCCATTGCCATTAAGGTGAGGGTAAAGTATGAATACCACTACTGACAGCCGTTTCAAAGGGGTGCATTAGACGCAGTGACGTGGCTGACACTTTCCAAGTGGTAGGTACACCAGTGCCAGGGTGTTTGTGGAGTGATTTTACTCAGGGTATAAACTTACGGTGGCCGTCAAGCATTTGGTTCCCTTTCCTGGACGACGGTGGGATTGCTCTCGACCAACCGGCGTCATCTCCTTTCGATCCTCTCGGCATTCGGGTTTTTCTTGAGATAGTTATTGGCTCGATAAGCGACTTCTTTTCGAATTCCGCTTACATCATACCTGCATTGAGATATTGCTTCTTGCCTAGGGGTAAATATTTGTCAGATAGCAAATACGAATAAGTGCTCGCTTAAGAAACCATAGCCACATTTAAAATCAGGCTCTCGAATGCTCCTCATGAGCTGGTTATATTGCTGTCAGCAAACATAAGACAAACTCAGGTGAGCGGGGAGCTTCTAGCTAGGAGAACGCGCCGGGGACAAGGATTGGAAAAGTGCATTGACTTCCATCTTGATCAGTCGTAGACGATCACTTGGTTATTTTATGGATACCCATCGGAAACAAATATACGTGGAGGATAATGCAAGCCTTACGATCCTCTCTAGGTAATGTGTGATCGTCGTTGGACAGAGGAACGAAGATCATCCATAAAGATAGAGGTTTTCGGCCAAAATAAGCGTGATGTGATCTCTTAATGCTATCACATCAGAGCCAACATCTACCATGTTAAAGACAGTACGATCCTCTTAGTCCTGAGAACCCCGTATTTAGTTCACATTGAGTCTCTTGGGGACAATTCCCTGCTCTTCTGGCTCACAGCGCGGCTCAACGGGTGTCCAAATAGTTTCGTAGCAATATACTCACAGGATTCTTCACCGCGGAAACCACCATCCTCACCCATCATGCGGAATACAGTTGCTTACTGGGGGCGGTGTGCTTAGCCATGTGGTCTTGTACACTAATCATTGGGATAATGATGGAACATTTGAAAATTTCCACAGGCCAACTCTCGTTAAGATGACTAGGGAACAGCTTGGCGAAAACTAGCGTGAGATACGGATGCTGCTGATGGTGATATTTGGAGTTTCGGAAGAGAGGCCGGATTTGCACATTAGCACTAGTTGGTGGGGATGCTGGAGATGAGAGTAAGCACACCTGAAATCAGCTTACAGGACAGGGACAAACCGGGTATTGATCCGGATACGACCTCACTTCTATTCGCTTCTTGCAATATCTCGGCACTTGGACAAATTTGCCATTGCGTTGGGCCATAATATTGCTCCGCCGTCCACATCCACCCCTGCCCACGCCCGATTGCACATATCAGAGCATTTATGAACACAAACGAATGGCGAAACTTTAGCAGGTCTTCAAAGAAATGTAACCAAAAAGGAGACAACAACAAGAAATCAATAAAGTCGTTCCCCACCACCTATGTTCCGAATTGCAACACCACACACATGTGGAGAGAGTCCTATTGAGTATCTCTAAGAAAAGGTCATTAATATAAGCTGTGAATAAGCGCTCGCGAATCTTCCTCTTATCAATCGCATATTTGCGACCCAGAGCAATCGCCCCGGGCGAAGCAAAACATTTGCTCGTATGAGCCCATTATCCAAGTCTCAAACCCTCGATATGCCTCCTCCGTGTATTCTTGCTTAACTTCTTCGCCCCTTCGCTTTTTATTTGAATAGCTGCCAACCAATGGGGATGGTTCCGGCCTTTCCGCTTTGTCGAGGCTGCCAGATAAATCGTCCAGGATAGATTCCAGCTCGCCCTCTGTCGTTCGAATACCGGCAAATAAAAATCTTGTCTTTAACTTCATCTCTTCGCACGCTAACGAAGCCTCGGAAGGACTGGATCCTTCAGAACTGGTTGATGGGGAAGTCTGGAAATCTTCCTGGCGGAGAAGGTGTAGATGCCTCCAATTCATTTCAGGAGTTTCTTCCCTTTTGGCAAGGTGATTTGGGGTATGAAGAACGCAAGATCCGCTGAGGGCGGACTCTCCAGCTCTGCAATCTGCACACCGCTTTCTCCGGCTGCTCCGCCTCTTAACTGTTGGGCCGGGAGCCGTCATGAGACCGTCCATATTCCAGACATGTGTGTGGACAACAGCGATGCTCTTCTGCTGCGGAAGCGACATTTTGGGTTGTGTGAAGGAAGGATAACGTGGGGTTTGCCTCATGAGATGTAGCGATTAGAGCCCCTGAATCCGGACCAATCTGGTTCGAAGGTGGGATATGATTTGAAAGAAAGTGGGATTGGGGAGAATGTGGATTTTCCCCGCACAACCACAAGATTTCCTGGAGTTACGGAGATAGATTTGTGTGGCTCAGCCGGAATCCGACGTCATTAACTGCCCCTGACTCGCGTTAGCTCCGTTGGTCGGCTGTAAGCAAAATGGGATAACCGATTCGGGTGAAAGTGAAAACGCCGAGGCTTGTGTCGGGAGTGACATTTCGGGTATGGGATAACCTATACTCAGGAGTAGGTATATTAAACGCGCTTCAGATCAATTGTTTTCAAGCATTTGAAAGAAATAGATTTAATAAACAGTCCATTGAGAATTGCGATCAGTAATTTTTTGCCTGCTTTTTTTTAAAACCGTTACATCCAGCAGGTTGAAGCAAAAATGGTCTTTAATCCTCCCTCGTGGGTTCCACCACTTCCAGGCAAGTTTCATCAAAACAGACAATAAACTTGCATTTTCTCATTCTGATTGACCTGCGTAGAGATACCGAACTCGATCACAGTTGCGGAATTCATTAGCAACGACAAATACGGCAGACACCCAACCAAGGCATCTCGGCGGCCCTTTACCTGTGGCATGACTGGTCGATCGTATACGATCGAGGAGGTGAATGAGAGAGTTAATTCTCTTGCAAAGTCTTTGCATGCAATACTCAAATTTGATGTTGAGGGTGGAACCGAGTGGGATCGCGTTGTGGCAATATACTCTCTCAATACAGTAAGGCACCCGTTGTTTGTGGTTGGATCAGAACTTTAACTAGACTCCAGATCGACTACATCCCAGCAACACATGCAGTTCACCGTCTCTCCGGAATAGTTACTCCTGCAAGCCTGACACACTCGGCCAAAGAGTTGGAACACCAGCTTCGATCATCTGGTGCCAAAGCGTTGTTCACTTGCATCCCGTTCTTACAGAATGCAATCAAGGCGTGTGATGCCGTTGGGATCCCCCAAGAACATATCTTCATTCTACCGATACCAGGTGTAACTGAACGTGTTCACTTTAAATCCATTGAGGATTTGATCTCGGAGGGGCGAAACCTTCCACCACTACTGCTCCCTGCGTGGATTGAGGGACAAGGCGCGAGACAAGTAGCCTATCTCTGCTACTCGAGCGGTACTTCAGGACATCCGGTGAGCAGATTATACCAAACTGTTCAAAACTTTTGTGCTTACAAGTTCTAGAAAGCGGTGATGGTATCCCATCGCAACATCATTGCTAATACAATGCAGACTACGCTTTTCGATTCCTCCGGGCGTCAGCAGAGCGGAGTACGCACTCAAGTCTCGGTAGGAGTGCTGCCGTTCAGTCACATTTACGGCCTGACTGTAATTTGCCATGTTGCAATGTACCGTGGAGACGAACTCATCGTCCTTCCCAAATACGAGTTCCAGTCATTCCTGAGCTCGGTCCAGAAATTCAAGATCGAACAACTGCATATAGTCCCACCTATTTTGATTTCGATAATCAGCAATCCAGATAAGTGCAAGAAGTACGATCTTAGCAGCGTGCGCCTCGTGTTTAGTGGCGCAGCGCCCCTGGGCAGTGAAACAATGGCAAAAGTATCAAAGTTATATCCAAGTTGGAAACTAGGCCAAGGTTACGGTAAGTGCGGGAATGCGAACAAGAAAATCATGAAGTTCAATCTAAATTATTTTTGTCTCTTTCACTCTAGGTTTAACTGAAGCATCGCCGAGTATTACATCGACAAGTGAGCATGACATCTTCCCAGGGTCGGCCGGATCGATCATTCCAGGCACCAAGGTCAAGATTCTCGATGCCGAGGGAAATGAGGTGAACCAGCACGAGAAGCGTGGAGAGCTATTGGTTCAGTCCGACTCTGTGACACTCGGCTATCTTAATAACGAAAAAGAGAATGCTCAAACGTATGTTTGGCACCATGATGGACGATGGCTGAAAACTGGCGACGAAGTCCTCGTACGCAATTCGCCACAAGGCCACGAGCATGTTTTTATTGTTGACAGGATAAAGGAACTTATTAAAGTTAAGGTATGCATCATCACGGAGCACAGTATGTTACAAGGATTCACTTACCGACTGGATCATAGGGTCATCAGGTGGCACCGGCCGAGCTCGAAGCCCATTTATTAGACCACCATTTAGTGTCAGATTGTGCCGTGATTGGCATAGAGGATGAAAGGGCAGGGCAGCTTCCGAAAGCCTACGTTGTAAAATCCGCCGAGGCGAGAAAGCAATCCTTATCTGACGAAGACGTAACCAAGGCAATCAACTCGCACATGGAGGGCCACAAGGCTCGCCACAAATGGCTCAAAGGAGGTATTCAATTTATTGATAGCATACCGAAGAGTCCAAGTGGAAAGATCTTAAGGAGACTTCTCAAAGAGCAGGATAGAAAAGCGCAGATTTCTGCCAAGATTTGAGCAACGCTCTACGGCCCATGAGATTGGTCTGCAAAAGGCACATATGTCACTGCGTGTTGCTCATCTTGTCTAGTAATCCGGCTATTGATGAGAACATTGGTTGAAATTGGGTTGCTTAGACAAAGGAGAATATTGCGTATTTTGAATCCGATAAGTGATACTTAAGGATCAATCAAACTTACTATACATCATTATACACAATAGAAAGTCGTTGCGCTCTGTGTAGTTGCCTAACTGGTCTCTATCGTTGTTTTATGAATGCTTGTTCGCGTTGCCTGCACTACCTTAATCATTAGAAGCATCAATCCTCCCAGTTTTCCTCATCATAATTATTCAAATCCGACTAACATCCATCATTGTTCTCTTCTTCATATCCTTCGTATCCTCTATATCCTTCGTATCCTCCATATCCTTCGTATCCTCCATATCCTCCATATCCTACAACTTCCTCCTCCTCTCCCTCCTCTCCCTCTTCTTCATAACCTCCATAACCTTCATATCCTCCATATCCTACAACTCCCTCCTCTTCTCCCCCCTCTCCCTGTTCTTCATATCCTCCATATCCTCCATATCCTTCATATCCTACAGCTTCATCCTGCTCTCCCTCCTCTTCTCCCTCCTCTCCCTGTTCATCTCCTTCATATCCTCTATATCCTACAACTTCCTCTTCTCCTCCCCCCTCTCCCTGTTCTTCATATCCTCCATACCCTTCATATCCTCCATATCCTACAACTCCCTCCTCTTCTCCCCTCTCTCCCTGTTCTTCATATCCTCCATATCCTCCATATCCTTCATATCCTACAGCTTCATCCTGCTCTCCCTCCTCTTCTCCCTCCTCTCCCTGTTCATCTCCTTCATATCCTCTATATCCTACAACTTCCTCTTCTCCTCCCCCCTCTCCCTGTTCTTCATATTCTCCATACCCTTCATATCCTCCATATCTCATAACTTCCTCCTCCTCTCCCTCCTCTCCCTGTTCTTCATATCCTTCATATCCTACAGCTTCATCCTGCTCTCCTTCCTCTCCCTCCTCTCCCTCTTCTTCATATCCTCCATATCCTACAATATCTTCGACTCCCTCACTCACTTCCTCTTCCACCTCATCTAGTCCAAGCCCATCCTCAGGTTCAGGCTCCTCGTAAGTCTCAGAGCTATCATTTTCTAGATCTTCATCGCTGTTAGACCCGGAGTCATCGTTTGCTTCAAAATAATTGTCTTGCTCATGATATCCGAGATCAGAAATGTTATCTTGACCATCGTCTTGATAATCTTGCTGCTCAAAGTGGCCTTGCTCCTGCCCATCGCTCTGCCAGCCATCGCTGGGATTATTGTTCCAGGTGCCAAACTCGTCGCCAATGGCATCACCCACATCCTCATCGTCACTACTTGAGTGAGAAATTTCATTTTCATTGTCATCGGCATGCCAGGTATTAGTGGAGATGTCGTTGTAATCGGGTTGTTCATCGTAAGTCTCTTCGTCAATGTTGTTGGGATTCCCATCACCGTCTTCCGATTCGGCTGTAGGATGATTCTCATCCCAAATGCCACCATTCTCACTCTCAATCTCCTGATTGCCATATGGATCATCCAATCTCTGACCATATTGGTTATCTTCGTTGTCTCTAATCACTTCACTGTATCTATCAAAATGAGGATTTGCCTCATCATCAAGCCACGTCTCCTCGCCATGAGCTTCATTTTCGTGGATGTACTGATTGCCATCCCAAGAACCTTGAACAGATCCCGATGCATCGATAGAGATATCATAGTTGCCTGAATATTGATTGTGATCGTAGAAAGTATCTGTTTCATCACCGAAAGACGCAGGAGTATACTCGTCTCTACAGTCCGGAGCCAGCTCATTGTCCGAACTATCGGATGATGCATCACCCCAGCCTTGCCCGTCGTACAGATTTTCAACGTTGGCTTCCTCCATCGCATGAGAGTTGCCGTGAACGGAGTCATTGTCTGTCGTGTCCCCATAGTAATAGCCTGGCTGATCAAATTGATCGGCAGTCATCGCCTGAACATCGTGTTCTGGTTCCCATGGCAAATGATCGTTGCCAATGGCTGCTGCTAGTCCGAGACTCGCTAAGCCAACACCACCGACAGCGCCAAGTGCAAGAGCAGTATTGGACGAGTGTTCCTTTGTCTTGGAACTCGAGTCGACTTTTCTCTGTTCCTGTTCCGGGTCGGTGTGTAGGTGATCCGTACGGTTGCCTGAGTTAACAGGGACTGACGAAGGAGCATTTACCACGGTAGGGTTACTTGGGGGTGAAGCTGGGCGAATGCCGAGCCAGTCTATAGACTCTGCATATATTTGATATTTATCTGGCTCTGAATTGGACGTTAAGTCACCGCATTGTGATTGAGATCCAAATATGTCGGATACTTGGTTGGGACCTTGTGGATCGTTTCTAGATTTCGTTTCAAAGCCCCCTTGTGCTTCAGCCGCAGGTGATGATCGCTGGAGCGCCTCGGTGACCGAACTTGTACCGCCGGCATATGAGTATTCAGTAGAAGTAGGCCAAGGGCCAGCCTCGGTATGGTGATACGGGGCTTGGAAAGAGTCAGGCCCGGAGACTTGACCGCTCAGGTTAGATTCTCGAAGCCAGCCATTGTGAGACGTATGCAAACCGATATCAGCCTCGCCTGGTCTAGTTTCTTCATTGAAACCAGCTTGAGGTTGGACCGAGGAAGATTGGGAGGCTTTAGATTCGCCATAGTCGAAAATTGGTTCCTCTGGAGATAATAAGCCATACCGTGACACTGGGAGGTCTATGACACCAGAACCCAGAAGCTCTGACTCTGCAGTGATGGGTTGTTCAGCCACTGGAGAAGCCTGTCCACCCATGTCATGAGGACTTTGCTGGGTCGAATCAAGACCTGGATGTTTTTCCAGCCAGACGTCGTTGGTGTTATTGACATTATTAATATTGTTGATGTTGTTAATGGTGATGTTGTTCTTGCTGTAGTCCATCGTGACGTTGCTTGGGGAGGAACTGCGCGTAGATAGAAAGTTGGCTTCTCCGTCCTCTCTCTTGGGGGGCTCATTTTCCTGTGTGCTCATTTCCTCATTCGAAGATGTAACCGGATCTTCACCGCCTGAGACCCAGTCGGAAGAATTGGATTCTGTATCAGTGGTGTAAGGAGATAAGCTGGCATCTGATTCGTGCCCATGGCCTCCTTCGTACACGGCGTTTTGTTGTACCGAATGGCTGTTATTGATAACATATGTCATAACACCTGCTCCCACGGCTCCCACCGCCGCTCCTGCGATCAATTTCCCATCGAGCTTGGAATGGTTGCCGTGTGAATTCTTGGGTGGCTTATTTCCTTTGTCATGGCTCTTGTCACCACGTGTTCTCCTGGATATTGACTTGTCTCCCTTCCCGTGCTTTGTGGTCGACTTGTTGCGGTCTTTCCCTGGTACTCTAACCGAGTCATCCAGTTTCTTCTTTTCCTTTTTGTCGGATAATTTATCCTTTGGCTGACTGCGAATTCTATCGCCCTTCATGTCCAACGTATTCTTGCCAACTCCCTTCGTCTTCTCAGCAGGTGAGCTTACTTGCTGGCCTACTTTGTGTCTCAGAGCTTGACCTTTTGCAACCTCTTTCTCCGTTTGCTTTATTCCACAGGACATCTGCTTGGTATTCTGGGAGGCCCCTTGGTGGGAAGGTTGTAGAGGCGGCTGTTTGGAAATTGGGCCAAGACTTCCTTGAGAACTCTTCTGAGAAGAGTGTAAATTAGGCTTCTGGGGAGTTTGCTTGACGTTCTGTCCAGTACTCTGTGGGACAGACTGCTGTATATTCCATGGGCTAAACTGTTGGGGAGTCCCTTGAGCATTTTGTTCGCCGCCTGCTTTCGGACCAGAAGATTTAGGCGTCATCAGACGTGTGCCTTCGGTGCTCGGGACTCCCTGTGAAGGCTGCTTAGAAGGGTGTGGGAGATCCTGTCCGACAACTCGTGTGGAAGGTTGATGGAAGTTCTGTTGAGCATTGTTTCTCATTTGCTGCTGAATGTTCTGCTGATGGAAGCTTTGTTGAACATTGTGCCGGATAATTTGTGGCTTTAATTTTTCGGGTTGAATGTTCTGGGGCTGGATGGTTTGTTTCTGCAAGCCCTGCTGAACGTTGTTCTGGATGTTCTGCTGCTGGGTATCTTGGTGAATATTCTGATGGATGTTCTGATGGATGTTCTGATGGATGTTCTGGTGTATATTTTGGTTTAAGTTTTGCTGGGTAACGGCTTGTATTGTATGGTCAGATTGTTTGCTCTTTGCTCCTGGATTTGGAGAGTTAGTGTTCACTTGACGTTGAAGACCAGCGTCCAGAACTCTTTGGTCACCGCTGGGGATTTGTCGAAGACCAGGATGAGAAGTCTTTTGAACAACCTTTTCGTTTTTGGGCCTTACGCTTGAGGAACTAGCAGCTTTCTCCTGTTGGCTTCCGGCCAACCTGGAAGTCTGTTGCTGTTGGACAATCGGCTGTTTCTTTGCCGTTGGGGTTGCCAAACCTGATGTTGCCTGGATTCGACTTCCTGCTTCTATCGTCCCGTGAAGATTTTGCTGGGAACTCGGTTGAACAGTCTTATTGACCGTGGGTTTGAAATTTTGTTGAGAAGTCTGTTGCGTCACAGCCTCTAAACGTGAGGAAACAGGCTTGACTTGGTGCTTATTGCTCACTTCCAAGGCTGATTTGACAGGCACTCGCTCGACGCCCCCCGCTGCTGTCTCCTTTGAGACGAAACGCGGTTGCCTTACTGGGGCGGTGCCAGGGGCATGGGTTGTGTGTAGCTCAAAACTACGATCGGCAGATACTTGTCTCACCGCATGGGAGTCTTGGACGCGGCCTACCTTCAAATCTAGACGTCCAGGCTCGTTCTCTGATGGATTTGCGGCTCTCTGCGTATAGGGAGCGGGGCCTGGAGCAGCCGCGGGTTTGTTAAGGGAGAGAGGGTTGGACGAACTGCTCGTGGTCGGTCTTGCCGTGGGCAACTTCTCCTTGGGTAGTTGGGGGGCAGTTGCTCTATTGAGGGAGGCTGGATCGTGACTAGACCGATTGGTAGTGGATTGTCTTGGTGATTTGGCGTTCGCCGCAGACCCGTGACTCTCGAGTGTAGACAGACGGGTGCTCGATCCGACGATGGTAGACTTAACATGACCAGGCTTGGTAGACGACGCACCGTGATATGCGTCGACATCAGATGTGTACGACTGGGTGATAGAAGTGCTGTGTGTTGACACGAGCGTTTTTGATATAGAGGTCGAAGCAGCAGATGCCGTGCTCACGACTCTTCGCGACGAGGAATCGGCTGCCGTGTCATTGGAGGAAGATCCTTTTAGGGACAACGATTCTTGACCAGGGGAAGCCAATGACGCAGTATTGCTTCGGTTTTGGGCTGGGTCGTTCTTGGGGCTCTTCGCTGGCGCGGTCGCCTTCTCGATCGTCGTTGCGGGTTGAGCTGTGGTCGGTGTGCCCTTCTGCGGCTTCAAAGGGCTAGGTACCATACCCGTGGTGGAGGATTTGTTACTGCCAAGTATGAAATGTTAGTGTAAAATGTACCGTTGATGCTCCTCGTGTTTCGTATTCAATCATACCTTGTTTCTGGCAATGTCTTGGAGCTTGACGGATCAATATAAGCTTTGATGGGCTTACGTTTGACCTCTGTCGGTTTTTGAAGACCAGGAACAAGAGAGCCAGGATGTTCTAAACTAACAGGTCGTCCTAGCGGCGAGGCCGTCGGATTGGTAGGCTGAGATTGCTGGAGAAAAGATGAGCCTGATTGGGGTGGCGAAGGGGAAAACGAAAGTGAAACGTGCGAGTTTTGAGAAATGAACAGTTCATCGACGAAATTGCTAGAAGACACTGATCGCGTGGTGGAAGAGCGAACAGTTGGATCTGTGTGGAGTTTGGGATTGCGAGAGGACTTCACCTCTGGCTGAAGGTGAGCTGGAGTGCTGGCACTGCGCCCATGAGGCTGCCCCATTGGGCCCGGAGGTCTTGCAAAAGGATGAGAAGATCCCGAAGGTGATGGGACAGTGGGATCTGGACCATTGAGAGTCTTCGGCTTGGGCGCTTTCGACTTCGCTGCACCTGTAAAGGGGACTCCGAACTTCTGGACGATGGTTACGTCCAGCTCAGCCGCCTTCTCTGCATGGTGTGACCATGGCCTCTTGGCCAGATGGAGCTGGTCAATATAGAACGGCTTTCGCTGCGTATTAATCCATCCCCAAGCTTGCTCCGCTCCAGGGAGCTTCGGAATAGCAACAGTCGAAGGCTGAGCTTCCGGAGTAGAAGAGATTGCTGCAGGAGACAGACCGGAGAAGCCCTCCGCGCCAGCCTGGAAAAATGGGGGGTAATTGACCGAAGAACCAGGGATAGCGAGCCAATTCTCCTTCTTGCGTGTCGAGGCATCAGGCGAACAAGCCTCGGCAATGATGGACCAAAAAACATAGCCGTCGGGCGTGGCTTGGGACAGGCAGTTCACGCAAAACCTGCATGTCTCCAGAACGCTGACACAGACCTGTGAATGGCGAGTCTGAGATTGATGGAAGAATCCAAGGACGGCTGGATACTTCTGGTCCTTGCTTTCAAGAGACGGCCGATACTTGGGAAAGTGATTGCAACCGAGGTCACGAGGACCAAGTTTAAGGGCAACGAACTCGGCAGATCCAGGAGCCGCAGCACCCGTCAGCGGTGGACTCGTTGCTGAGGTAGAGAAGCTACGCATTATTGCGAGTATTATGGGTAAGGGTTTGTAGACAGAAGCAAAGAAAAGAAGGACGGGGCTATAAGTTGGCGAATGCTGTAAGCGTTCAAAGACAAGATGGCCAAGAGGATTGCTGAAGCGCAAGTAGTCTTAGTGGGAAATTCCACCTGTATTAAATGATCAGTTACTACTCCGTATAGAGAATATGACCAAAGGCCACAATCAAGGCCAGATACACCACCCTCCGACCATTCATCTCGGCTCTACTTCGCCTTGCCGTAGCCTTACCCATCTCTACTGCACACCGGAATGACCCTCCACCACTTCACGAAAGTTAATTTTAGCTTCCTTGCCACGTATAGTAGGGGGGCGTGTTCGCAGCCCTTTGGATCACGACTGCTAAATCAGTACCGTACCGCGAGAGGAGGAGCGGGGGGTATGGTACGATGAAAGTATTGGTTGAGCTATTGCTTGAAAACTGAGACCTGCGGGCTCGCCAGTTACCTGCTGGCCTATGAAATGGCGGCTAATGCAACCATTGCATGTGGCGTCTGCAAGACCGAGGGATATAACTCACGGGCTGCAACTACGTGGTAAGGATGCTTAATGCTGACAAGGCAACTCACATAGAAACAAGGCTCGACCCCTTGTCATGGTGGGATTGTCTCACCTGGTAGCCGCCCAGAACAAGACCGATCGTCAAGCGGCTGGACGCCTCGCGAGTAGGTCGCAGAGAATCTGGGTTCCTCCAACATTGTTGTCCACGTCTGAGTCAGATGATTCTTCCTGGTCATGGCCGAGCAAGGCATCATGATAGGAGGTTAAAGATGCACTACCGGCGGTTACAGAGCCGAAATAGAATTTTCCAAATGTGCAATAATCCCCCTGAACATTGCATGAGTCCAGCCTTGTTCACTTCGGCCAGGCCAGACAGCATGTGGGAGTGTTTTTTTCAGCCGCTTGGCTTGGTCGAAAAGATGGTAACCTAGCTCTCCCCCACATCCGTTGCCCATGTTCCGTTGATACCGCAGCTTTTTCAGTTAGACGGATATCGTCCTTGCCCACGATGCCTCCATCCAGCAGAGCCTCGTCTACCAAATCCGCGACATTCCCCCTCAACCGAGCAGATTCTAACCTTGCGCAACGCCTTTCCTTCCTACAGTTTGATAGCAAAGCCGCCGAGCCCACTGCCAATGACTTTCAACGGGTGCAGGAGCTTATGCTCCAAAGCCGCCCTTCCACAAAACGATCATCGACGTTGGACTACAAAGATGCCAACCAAGCTCTTTCTATGGTAGCTCAAGGTCGCGTGCCCAATACCACCCCAGGGATGATCAATGCCCTCGTCAAGAGCGGTGCCGACGTCAGCGTTGCTCGACGCAAGAGCGACAACATCCTCAAGATGTTCAAGGGCGAAAATCAAGAGGAGGTTCGAAGTGACGTCCTGCCTGTCGCCACGCGGAACTGCTCAGACGATGTCGTGTTCGCTCTAGCCCTCCACGCCGATAAAATATCCCTCAACCAAGCGCTTCCCGCAGCCATCACTGCCAACAGCCATGTCAAAGCGTCCATCCTTCTTGCTAGGGGCGCTGACGCTTCACCACTATGCGCCGCCTTCCTCGATGTCATAGCCAGAGATAACCACGAGATGGCAGAGATTCTCCTCAAGGAGGTCAACGGTGCTTGTCAGCGCTGCCGCAACAAGGGACTGGTGCACACTGCGAGGATGCGCTTCCCCGTCACTGCGCAGAAGCTCTTGGCTCGTGGGGCAGATGTCAAATACGACAACGGTGCGGCCCTCCGAGCAGCAATACACTCCGGTGCCGACGATATCGCCTTTCAGATTGCCTCTCATCCATCCATCATGAGCCAAGCTGTGCTTCTCGACGCCGCCGTCAGCGATGCGTACAATTATAAGAAGTATTCACTGCTTCCAGTGTTGTTTCAAGCTGGAGCCAAGGGCAATACTACGGACGAGATGGCCATCAGTGCTGTCAACTCGCAGCAGCTAGATCTGATCAAAGACCTTGTTCAGCAAGGGGCGCTATCGGCGCTGTCCCGCAAGGCAGTTGGAACCTGCTTGCGGTCATCCATCAACGTCTCGAGGCTTGACATCCTCCAAGCGCTCCTTGCTGGAAGACCGTCGCCGGAAGTCATGGCCGAAGCACTGAACCAGACACATTCCATCTCCAAATTGGATTATGTGTACCAGGTGGTTGACCTTCTGCTTCGTTCCGGCCTGGCAGGGCATGGATCCGTCAGTGATGCGCTTCTGTACACTATCAAAAGAACCGTCTCGTCCTCTGATGAGCAGGTCCATCTCAATCTCGTCCACTTGCTTCTAGCTAGCGGTGCTGCAGATGTCAATGTCCATGGAGGAAAGGCCATCGTAGACACGGCCTCCCGGGCACAGGTGAACGTCCTCTCCCTCCTCCTGCAGGCCAAATATCGTGTGTCGACAGAGTCTCTTGCTGCAGCGTTGACTCCCGCGATCGGGGTGAAGCCAGACGATATCAAGATCCGCGTCATCGAGATGCTTCTTGGGAAAACGAGTACTGCTGGTCCGACGGGAGCGACAGTCACTCCCCAGGACAGGCAGCGCCTCATCAGCGTCGCTATGTCTGCAGCTGCACAGTACCTCGACATGAAAGTTCTCCAGCTACTTGCTAGCCTTACCACGTCCGTCGATCCGTTCAGTACTGCCGTCACCACTTTGGTTCACAAGACGAACGGCTGGTCTTCTATTCAGGGTCTTGTTGTCATGCACTTCCTGCTAGAGCACGGCGCATCAGGCCAAGGTGTTGAGGATGCCTACCTCAAGGCTGCTCTAGCCCACACATATGAGGCCGTCAATCTATTAGAGCCAGTGGTAAATCCCAGCATACGGATGAAGGCCCTCGGTCGTCTGACGAGCGCCTCCCCGAGGTGGATCGAGCAGAAGAATTTGTGGCTTCTGCAACTCCTGTGTGATGGAGGATGCAAAGGTGACTCGATCGACGCCGCGCTGCTCCAGGCGGTTACTATCGTGTCCAAGGGAGATGGGTCCATTGCGGCGTTGCACGTCCTCCTTGATTCGTCCGCAAATGTCAACTACCAGAATGGCGATGCTCTCCGTGTCGCTGCCACAAGCGGAGCTGTCGAGGCCCTTGAGATCATGATGCGATATAGCGCGAGCAGTAACTCGATCGCAAATGCCATCCATGGTACCATTTCGGCACTTCTCACAGAGAAGAGGGCCCTGAAGGTGATTGACACTCTTGTCCACGATTATAGAGGCCAAGAAGCCCAGTGTCAAGCTCGACTTGAGGAACACCAGACAGGGCCAGGCTCCGATACTCGTGACTTGCCTGTCTGTCCACCGCAAATCTGCACTGCTGGTTAAGAGGCTAGAAGAACTCGGATGCGATGCCGACGAGCAATTCACAGCGACCATCCACGAGTACCAGAACGTGGGACAGGAAGTGACGAATGTCCTGACTTGGGCTCTCAGCCCAGTGTCAGCAGGACAGATATCTTCCGAAGTCATCGTCGCCCTCATTGAGTCGAAAGGTATGAATCCAAATACCACTTTCCTTTACACACTAATACTAACTAGCATCAACATCAAACGTCAACTATGCCACGTCTAATTCTAAGACCACGCCCCTCATCCTGGCTGCAAGGTACGGTCGCCATGATATCGTGAAGAAACTCCTCATCGCCAAGGCCCGTCCCACTGCTCGCGATTCCTTCAACTGCACTGCCCTTTATTACGCGGCGCAACTAGGCCATCTTGAGGTTGTGAAGCTACTGGTAAAGGCCAAGTCGCTCGTCAACGACGGTAGCCTTCATGAGGCCGCTAGGAACCTCCACAGCGACGTGGTAGCCGCTTTGATATCCGGCGGCCACGACCCCAATTTCCGGAGCAGCAGGCCTGAGCACAAAGGGCGCAACGCCCTGGAGGAAGTTTGCCTCTTGGCTGATGGCTCGAGGAATCAAACCCGTCTAGAGGAGACAATGATGGGAATCGCAGATGGCAAGGCCAAGGTCCTTACACCAAACGGCGACAGGAACTGTCTTTTCCTTGCCTTCGACAATCCCCATCCCATCCCAGTGACTAGCATCGTCCTGGACCGAATCATGTGGCGTGATCTCAACGACGAGAAGAACGTTTTCATCCGAGAAGTCCGTGAGACAGGTACCAAGATCTTTTACTCGCCGTCCATGTTCCTTCGCAAGGGCCTCGCGGGCTGCAATCCCAGACACATCAACCATCTGTTGAAGCTCCTCCACGACAAACAATGCGTCGACAGATACTACGCAGAATTCGGCCCAGGAGACGACGGCATGTTCCAACCGGAGGATGCAGTGGGCGTTCCTTTGGCGATTGCCAGGGAAGAAAAGAAACGCCGGGCTGATGCTGAAAAGCGCCGGGCGGAGGCGGAAGAGCATCAGCGTAAGCTGCAACGACAGCAGCAGGAGGCGGAACACAAAGTCCAGGTGGATGGGTGGGTGCAGCACCAAAAGAGGACACAGGCAAACCTCGCCCACCAGAGTAAGATGCAGCAGCAGGAACAAATCAGAAACCAATAGATCCGAGCGATGCAGCAAAAGCAAGCCATGAAGAAGACTATGTAGTGCAGAACGAATTGATCACAACATCAAGTTTGGAGTTCTTGTTTTATCTCATCCTATTTGCCAACTCAACCGATTTATTTAATACACGAAGAAATTTATGAACTAAGGATATACTAATCAGAGATCATGGCCCTGTCACAAATCCGGTAGTTGTAGGGTTTATCGTAGATTTCAAGGGGAAAAGAATCACTCTGCTAGTTTCCAACACCCCCCTTTTCATGACTCTTCTTTATCACATAGTAAGGAAGTCAACATCTAAAGAATGTTAGTCGAGCCTTCGAGAAATTAAGAAAGATTTTCTTACTTATCAAAATTAGACACCGCAACAACCTTTCCAAAGTCTTGCTCGTCAGTAAACCCTCTACCACGAGCGACATATAAGACATTTTTGTCGTCCTGTGATCGGCCAAAAGCAAGTGAGGCGCAATCAGCCAAGATAGTTTCGTTGACACCTCCCGAAACAATCTTATTCTCGCCGGTCCTGGTATTTATGTAACCAAGGGCATTTGCGGGAGCGTTGGACGTAAAGTAGATGTTTCCCGCTCGATCAAAAATGAAATCGTCGATCCCAGAGAAGTTTTCAGAAACATCCACAACAAGCTCTGCCGTGGCGCCAGTTATCTTGGAGCCTTTCCAGTCAACTCGTAGGCGATAAACGAAAGTAGGTGCAGAAGCAAAATAGAGATAGCCATCGTGAAACTTGGCGGCAACCACGCCCATTCCAAGCGGAGAATTTGGGAGTACAGCCATCTCGGGCTCCGCAAGGGCATCCATCTCCCATTTCTTCTCAATAACATTCAGACGGCCCATGGTTCCTCTCCCAGAATCTGCGATTAGGACAGATCCGGGGCTTCCGGCAATTGGGGTGAGGCCATTCAACAAAACCGTTTCCCGCCCTAGATCCCCGATTTGCTCAACTTTCGCTACTCCACGCTTTGGAATGGAGAGTCGGAAAGCCTGCCATGAGCCAACAGCCGGTGTTAAGGGCACAAGAGACGTAACGTTGCCACCGACAAAAACGTAAGTCTCTACTCCATCAATTGGAGGGATTTCAGTGATTCCCCAGAGTGATTGGACCCCATAAACGTTTGCTACCTCTTCAACAGATGGGTTGCGAGAAGACGGCCCCTTCACAGTATAGATCTTGGGGCTGCCCATTGCAGATGTTGCGAGAATGTCGCCGTTTGGGCGAATGATGGTACTTTCCAAATAGGATCCTACCGGCGTCTCTGCAATGACCTTGGCAGAAACCGAACGACGTCCGCTCTCAAGAACAGGACTGCCTGAAATAGGAGCCGCCAGGGCAGCATAGTGCAACAGAGATCGTAAAGAGACCATTTCGATTTTTTGTCTCAAAAGGCTGCTTGCTCTTCAATATATGGCATGAAGTAAATTGTTGATGCGATTTGAGAATCTTCAAGCTTGGTGAAATCGACCTACTATCACCTGGAAGTCAAGGTGTTTAAGTATCGACGCCGAAAGGCATCTTCAAGTGTCCAGAACCGTCCACATGTCATTATGAAATCATGACCAAGCTCGGGTGAGAATAAAGTATATTGAGTGTACAAGGGGCTTACAAACATTGTTAATGTGACGACCCAGTCCAGCCTCTATTCTCGGGTAACAGGTGTAGTGTTTTCTGAGTTCGGGATCTTAGCAGAAACCGAATCTCTCCAATTTTTACGGACATAATAATATTAGCTCCGTAGAATATACTTAGTATAACGGAGACTTATAATCAAATCAATAATTCCTCCTTACAAATCAGGTCAATCAGCTCGGAAAAAGTTGCTAGTGGAGGGGACGAAGCTAGGGCCATGTGTTGTCGTGGATTTCCATTTCTAGATACCTATGCCTTGGTTAGGTGCTGTCAAGCTGAGCAAAAGTGAATCAGCAATTTACAAGTCTTTTATGGGAAATGAACATGCTTGCGCTTTGATTACCGCCTGCAGAATTGCATTTAGCAAGCATTGACACTGTTTTGTTGGGTGTAGCCTTCTCCTTTATTGTTGAATATCGAACTAATTGGCGAAATAAAAGACCAAAGAATATTTTATGAGGCCCATTGAATATTGTTGCACCTTGAAAGCCTCTTTGTATGCAGGTCGTGAGTATACATGGAACTTGAATCACCAAATTATTGTAATAGGTGAAACCCATTCTACTGGGCAGAGCTCGTAGGGACTGTGTCTCCCGTTAGGTTTCGTTCATATGCTGCACAGATCTTATATTCTCAATTATCGCTTATTTTGACTTGGATTGGATGAAATTGAGCCTACCTAGTTTGACCGATCATTGTAGCGATATTGGTGGGATAGCAGTTTGGTGTGTCTAGGGTGGAAGCTGGGGATGGTCAAACGTTCATAGTCCAAATGTTGACACGACAGCAGCCAACAACAAGCTTCCATGGCTGAGTTGGTTACAGCGTCGGTCTCATACAGTTGTCTGTGTGATCCTCTCCAAAGAGTGGGTTATCCGAAGGTCGTGAGTTCGAGCCTCACTGGGAGCATCCAATGTTTTCTTTTTGCTTTTGCTGGTTGTGTCTTCCTAGCGGCGAGTTCTCCCCGCTTTTCATTGAAGAATTTTTGCAGGTGGAGACTCCCGTCGGTAGAATTCTTACCAGTGGTTCCCTCAGACCAAAAGACGCTCTTCAGGCTCCTCTCAGAATGACATTATTTTCCCCTCTGGGTGTCTGAGTGCGACTTACTCGTAGGCGAAATTTAGCAATGGTCCGCGCCGGATGGATGGATTGCAAGGTGAGATGGAGAGATTCGTCCATCGACCGTCTTTCCTCTCTCGAGCATCTCTAGAAAGCACTAGACCAGCTGCTGAGGAACCTATGCATCACATTGGTCTTACGATTGAAACTACCTCACCGGCGCAAGCTACACCTCACTCAAGGAGCTGCTAGTAGTGGATTTTCCATGGCTCTAGAACCTAATTCACAAAAGTAGTCCAACATTCATGTCTACTTACCACCCCTTGAGTGAGAAAAAGTTGAATCATCTCTCACATCTATTGAAGAGCAATTAGCCAAGGATCCGGTCGTCTGCTAGCTTCCCGCTCATACTTTTGACGCTCAGGGCCGACGACAGACTTCTGAAAGCCAGAAAACATGAGGTAAAAGCCACCACATATTAACTTTATGATAAGAGTAATTGTGTTTAAAATACGGCACGTCGAAATCAAATGGCGGTGCCTTGATGGCTCGCTTCATGTTGGAATGCCACCCAATTGCAACCGCACAGTGGAGACTCCAGTCGGGCGGCGCCTTTGCCTCTATTGGGTACTTTCCTCCATGATACCTGGTTCGAAAGAATGAATAGTTTCTATTTCGTGCGAATCCTAGATGAAGTAGAATCTCCAGGTCTTTGATTATCGGGAGAATGGAACTGGCTCCTTCTTTTGTTGGGCCGGACTACAGATTCTTATCCTTTGTAGAGCGGACAGTCAGCGAGACCTGAAGACTCCGCACTGCTAAAGGCGATCCATCGGAAAATGTAACTCTTCGCTTTGTTTTCACTTATCCTCTCCGATTTGGGACTCGGGCGGGGTAATATGGGGGAATCATGTCATCTCAAATCTGTAAATCCAGCCTCCAACTGTGCTTAAACGCATTGCATTCTCAATTACCCATTATCTTATTGATTCAGCCATGTCTCTCAGCGGAAAGGTATATGCCGTGACAGGCGGTGCAAGCGGCATCGGCCTTGCCACAGCCAAGCTCATCTCAGAATGTGCGGGAACTGTCTGCATCGCTGACGTTAACACTGCTGCCCTGAAAGAAGTCGAGGCCTATTTGAATTCGAAATCGCCAAAGCCTCTGTATTCAGTGAATCAAGTCGATGTGTCCAAGAAGGATCAAGTAGAAAGCTGGATTGCCGGTATCAAAACGCAGTTCGGTCGGCTAGATGGAGCAGCAAACATTGCCGGCATCATTGGAGAAGGCCATGGAGTCCAGCCTCTTACGGAGCTTGAAGACGATGAGTGGTTTAAAATACTGAATGTCAATCTAACTGGTATGATGTATTGCCTTCGTTCGGAATTGAACCACATTGAGGATGGCGGATCAATCGTCAACATGGCTTCTATACACGCCACAACTGGTAGGCTCCTTTCTCTTTTCCCGAATCAAGGATACACCGCCGCTATAGGATCATGGATGCTTTGAATACACGACCCATTCAAGGAGACTCTAACCATCAGTAGGCGTAGCAAACCATGCTGCTTACGCCGCAAGTAAGCACGGAGTCTTGGGCCTCACTCGCGTCGCCGCCAAAGAAAATGGTCATCGAGAAGTACGCGTCAATGCAGTTGCTCCGGGGCCAATCTATACTCCCTTGATGCAAGGGTATTGGGACCGGACAGCAAGGCCAGCCGATGCTCCCTTTGACGAGCCCATTGCATTTCGACGCCAGGGGACTGCTGAAGAGGTAGCAAAAGTAGTTGTCTTCTTACTTGGACCAGAGAGCAGTTTTGTCAGCGGCAGCTGTTATTCGGTTGATGGCGCCTGGATATAGATTGATATTTTGATTTCAAAAGAGGAATTTGTTAGATAGCTTTTGGCCATTGTTGATGCTGCAAATATCTAACTCTCCATAACATTGTCTCCCTAGGCTACTGCATCAGTGTTCTATAATATTAAATGAACTGTTCAACTCCTTATTCAATCGTCCTTTTGATAGCCAGGTTTCCATTAGCTCCTCTCGGCTTCCTTAGCAGGAGCTCTGATGTTCGACCGAGTAAAAGACCTCCATTCATGAAATCAGTTTTGCCATGGCGTCTATTACTAAAATTCTTCTATGCTCCTCAGAGTGAGCTCCAAGAATATCATTTTAGCAATCGAACAGCCTAGGCATTGTTTATATCCACTTTCTTCGAGATCTACAGGTTTTCGAACTCGTGGCGCAACGATATTCCGTCAGGGGCAGGGATGAGGCCAGGAAACTCGAGGTCTCCTCGGTTCCAATGCCGCATGTACACGCCCATGAACGCGCCGCGGCCTCCAATATCTTGCAACAGTAGCTGTAGATCCTCGGGCGTTTGATCCACTACCGTGGTAGGTTGTCCACCATGAAGTTGTGTGAAGACATTGACAAAATCCTTGCCGGAGGCGCGGAACGTAACGGCTGAGAAGCTCTTGCCCACGATATCAGCTGGGTCTCCAGCGAGTAGGCTTCCAAGCGCGGCACCTAGGTGTTCCATGGTTCTGGAGAGTTAGGTTGGGTGTGTTAGCGAATTTTCAGCTGATTTTGTTGATTGAACTTGAGAACTAGATTGCTATTTACTTACGTGATAGGAGTCCAGTTCTTGAGTTGGTTGGTATTTGCCACGATCTTATTCTCTTTCAAATTGGTTCCCAACCATCTGGCACCAACGTCAGCCATAAATTTTCTCTGGTAGAGTGCGTAATGAAATTTTAGATCCCCTATCAAATCCTGCGGCATAAGAAATACTCACCCAAGCTTGAAAGACGAAATAAAAGACCCAGTCCATACGTGGGTGATACCCACACCGAGCTCCTCAGCGATCTTCTCAGTCTCTAAGAAAGGTCCTATGAATGGAAGGTGAGGATAATCATCGTCACTCAAGGGTATGCTGAACCTTGCAGGGATAAAGGTGATGAATCCAGGGGTCTTGGACAGGGCCCGCACAAGGTTTATTTGCAAATGAACGGCTGGAATGGGAAGAGCCGAGCTTCATTTTATCAGCATCACGGTACTAATAGACATAAGAGAAAGTGTGGTAAGCTTACATTGCGGCATTCACCCCGCGAACGGCCTCTTGAATATTTTCAATGGGGCCCTCGAGATCAATCTCACGTACTTCTACGCCTAAACCTGAGTCAAGGTCTTTTGGCGGGCTGCCTGGACGATGTAGAACAACCAAATTCAGCTTACCTGCCTTATGAGCAGGGAGTAAGTGTTTGAGAGTCGCCGAGCCGACATTTCCGTTGGGCGCGAGGAGGGCAACAGTGTGAACCATTGTGAGATATTCGAATGAAGTGGCAAGTGAGAAAAGATAAGAGGATGGTTTGGAGAAAAGCTTCATCGAAGATCATGGGATATATTACAATATATACCATGAATCCGATGGCAATCGCATGAGTCAAATCCTGAGAAACGTAGTCTAGGCCCCTTAACGTATGACGTGACTGCTTATCAATGCACTTCGAAGGCCACAGTCTCAGCAAACCTTTTTGAAGCAAACTTAGCCTATCAAAATATCACGCAACTACGGATAACTTGAAGAATAAATGATCTAGAGAGTAACTGACACTGCATGGCAGGGGGTTCTTCTTGCCATTTCAGGTAATGTCAGATTAGAGCCCAGATACTCCGCAGGTGGAGGATCTATTCATGGGACTGTGCTCGGCTGTAGGACAGGGGTCTCTTTTTCCCATTTTTGGTAATGGTTGACTTTTAGTGTGATGGCGGCCAAGACGGTGACATTCTCTGAACCGCCGAGGCTTACAAATACGTACCTACTGAGGGTGCTATGTTAAGTCTGATTACAACAGCTGTTGTTTCTTCATCGAATAAGGAATCGAGGGTGGGGAATGGAGGAGGCAACGATCAAGATTATTGTAAGACTACAAAAGGGAGAAATTATAAAGGAGACAGAACCGAAGTTTCGTTGGGTATAATCCTCTCACACTCTCTTAACAACGAGCCAACGTAGTCCTGCATTTCAATCTGCCTTTCTTCTTAACTCGTCATTAATAATGGCCCCGGATACACTATCGCTCGAAGGCAAGATTGCTATCGTCACTGGCTCAGGGAAAGAGAATGGCATTGGTGCCGCCATAGCCACAGCGCTCGCTCGCAACGGCTGTTCCGTTGCCATCAACCATGTCTCTGATGCTTCCGGTCATCGGGCGGCAAAAGTAGAGGCCACTATCAAGAGCCTTGGGGCTAGAGTTGTCACTATCCAAGCGGACATATCCACCGTCGACGGCGCTAAGGAAATCGTCAAAAGAACACTCAGCGCCTTCAACTCATCCAAGATAGATATTTTAGGTAAGCAATATCATTGAGAGTATTTATTACAGTAGTTGCTGATCAAACCTGGAATAAGTGAACAACGCTGCCGTCGCAGCCCATGGCATAACGTTGGATATTTCGCCAGAAGCCATGGAAAGAATATTCCGCGTTAACGTTTTCGGACCACTGTTCATGATTCAGGAAACGGTTCCCTTCATGCCTCGAGGCGGCCGTATCATAAACACTGGGGCCACTGCATCAAAGACGGGCTTTGTGCATGATCCTGTATACGCTGCCAGCAAGGCCGCGATGGATCAGATGTCATTCGCCCTCTCTATGGAAGTCAGATTCCAAATCCTGTCCTATCCATTCTTAAACAAACTCAGAACGATGTAACTAACGTGTGAATTCAACAGCTCGGGCGTAAATATGGGCTAACTATCAATACTATCGCGCCAGGCTCGGTCAAGACAGATAATTTCCCAGATGATCCCAATTCTCCGGTAGTCCAGGCTTTCATCGACTTAACTAGAGCGGAAGCTAGAGCTGGCAATGTCGAGGATATTGCTGATGTTGCGTTATTTCTGGCCTCGGAAAAAAGCCGATGGTTGACAGGACAATACATCTCAGCCAGCGGGGGCGTTACGGGCGGCTGAAATAGAAAGGCGGTTCGGATCTATACAGACTGAGAATATACGGTCTTTCCTTTTCACCCGCTTTGTAACCTTCAACAATATTTGAACTTGATTTTTCTTAGATATACATCGGTACCAAGAGGGTTTTTATCTGTGGCTGCAATACAGTGCGCCCTAAATTTGGCCAGGTAACATGTTTCCTTTCACAGCGTTAAAATCTAAAACCCCGACATCTGAGGGAAAGATTCGATCAGCAAAGATGATGTTTCTTGCCAATGCTGATATCTCTTCAGGACCCTCAACTCCCAGTTCCTCGGCTAACTTGTCGATGTATGAGACATATGCCCCCATGTGCGCCGAGTCTATCAAGGATACATAAACCACACACCAAAGTTCAAGGTCCGGAAACTCGGACCCGGAGTGGCAAAAGAGGAGCATTCTGAATCTCTCCTGAAGATAACTGAGCTCGTCGGTCGGAAATGAGAAAGTTTGTTTGAGGCGTGTCAGAATAATCAGCAAGGCAATCCGGGCTATTTCAATCGCATAGTCGCCAGAGTCGTCGTTTTCTCTACCAATTACTCCCGTTGGCCTTGGCATTGATAATAAAGAATGCGTAATAGGAGTTATCAAAGTTGCCCCTTGCGATGAACTGTTCCAGAATTCATCATCGTGAGCTTTGTGACTTATGGAGTCGACAAGGCTTCCAAAACTCTTGAGAGCTCCAGCAATCTCGGGGTTTCCAGATCGTGTGAGTCTTTCAATGATGCTAGCTAATGGAGAGGATATTGTCTCCTCGGGATACGGTTCGGCGATCAGATGTGCAGGAATGGCGTATCTGGGGACACAATCCCGTGTGGATGATTCGAGAACATCAAACCTACATGGGTTAGATAGTTCATAGTGGTAGGGACCAAATTCAAGTTTGTTACCAAAATATAAGTAATGAGATCATTTGATCAAGGCTTTCAAGCCCTCCGCGGGCTTTGACGGCTCTTTCGAGACCATCTAGATGAACGACTCGACGATCCCAATTCCCCAAATGCGTCTTCAGATATTCAGCAAGTCCGCGTCCGTGAAGCGCAGCAAAGAAAGTGACATACCTCGTGGCAGGCAAGCCCTAACATAGTGTACGCCAAGCCAGGGCTAATGAAAGGAGCCTCCTTTTCTAGTCTTGCGATAACCTGGCTCAAACATACACCGAGATACTTGCTCGACTCTTGGTTGCTCTCCTTCTGTGTAAGATGATTGTGTAAGAAGGCTGCATTCGCCAGATAGAGGTAGAACGCAGCGGGGTCGGTAGTAGCCAATGAGTACGATTCATATCGAAATGGTATGAAATGAAGGTTGCCCGCAACTTGCACTACTGATAATCAGCATCGTCCGAGGCATGTGCGCAGAAGAGCATACTAAAATGAATAAGTTGGCGGGCTCGGGTGCTCGTTTCGACGGGATATGAGCCCAAGAATGTAATATTGGGTACTATTTGCTGCTGGGGATATTGGAATAGAAATTGTGGACTTTGGCCGACGATGACGGTTGTGTTAGGAGGGATATCAACTGATACAGTCGGATTTCGGCGCGGCTTCAGTCGCAACTGGCCTGCCGCTCCCATAGCATGACGACGAATCTTGTTTTGAGTCTCTTTGTCTTTGAATCCATCAGGATGGGATACATGAATGAAAGAAAAAGTGTCTCGACTATGCGTCTTCCTCCTGGCCATAGTGAAGAACTATCCTCGCCGTTGTGATTGTGAGAGCTTGCATAAACATGAGAGGAAAGTCTGATTTGTCATTTGGAAAATGCAGCAATATCCGTAATAGGCTTGAATCCGGACCCACAAAAGGGTAAGCGCGTAAGCAGTCTGCCTCGCCTCTCTATATATAAACTTATTGTTAGGCAACTACATATTCCCCGCCCCCTCATCTCTCTCTTCTTCCTTCTTCACAATCACATGTAATATCGTCTATCTTCTTGTAAGCTATATAATCTAGACTGGCCCTTTGTGTCGGCTGAGCCACGCTAGGGACTGTCATCGGTTCCTTTATCTTCTGCCACTGTTACATTTACCTCCGAGGCCTTCAGGCGCAACAAGATGCCAGAGATCAGCTTCTACGACCCTGATTGCCCTGTGTCCGAGGGTCGCCAGAAAGAAGCGACTAAAGCGCTAAACAAGGCCGTGAACCAAGCCGATCAAGAAAGATGGCCTTACATCGACATTACGTATGCCTCTCCCGCCATTCTTTATGGAGTTGGTGCTGACTATAACTCTCTCCTAGTTTTGGTGACGGCGGTGTATTCATTTACCGCTGTTACTCTGATTCGGAGAAGAAGATCGGTCAGCAGGGTCCTGCAGGCGCCTGCAAGATTTAACAGGTACTCCAACTTTCAGAGATTAGTTGCAGCAATGTTATACCCTCTGGACTACCAATAAAACAACGTGCTTTGCTTTGGTTTGCTTGAATGGTGGAGGCCCTCGATTAGTATGGGTGTCACAACGCAATAGTCGATGAACGAACACTCAGAAGAATAAGATCGACTAAGATGTCTGGGCGTAACAGGAATAGTAAACTCTAATAAACAATTCATGAAATAACACATGTAACGCTAGGACCAAGAATAGAGCTTTGTAGAGAGTAGAGATGTAAAACAACAATGAGGTTTGGGGGACGCTTTGAAGGCCAAAACAGGCGGGAAAAAAACAAGGTTAACTTGATGTCAATAGAACAATAAGAGATTCTAGAAGCGTCAACCACATCACGCAATGTGTCCTTCCTTGGGGCTACAAAGAGTAAAGGCTCTGAACTAGCATTAGCATTATGCGATATCATTGGATAGAATTGGTCATATGTAACGTACCTGAAGTTTGAATCTCTGTATACGTTTATTTTTTTGATCGAGAGGATTGTTGTTGAGCTTCGGTGCGGTGCTCATTCTTCCAGTATTTCATGTCCTCCTCCTTTTCCTCCAAATTCCTCAGCCTCTGCCGATGACCTTGATACGACGAGTATTGGTCATACCCAGGATATTTATGCATGAAGGCTCTGCGCTCCTCGACGGCCCTTGATGCGATGATTAGAACAACATTCCATGTGAGAGTGTGTTTGACTACGATATGGTCGATTCAAGGGGACCAAGACTTACCTTTGTGTTTGAACGATCGCATTCTGTGCGTACGACTCGCCCCGTTTATGATAGCTCGCCCCCGACGACTTGGGATCATAATTCTCATGGTGCGTCCAATACGACGTCCTAGCTTGGCGAGCTCGATCTTCTTGCTGCTTATAGCTCCGCCTCTCGGTGGTGAATGAACTATCCAGGGGTGGACGAGTCGAAGCATGAGCATCACGGAAATGATCATTTCTTGAAGCACCTCCTGTGACATAAGAGGCAGGCCTACTGACATCCCCGAATCACACTGGCGGAGCACCCGTCTGGTACCTGGTCGTAGTGCTACTTGGAGCCCTGGTCGGCGGGTAGCTGCTTGAATATTTATAATCCGCGTAGGGGGGATACCGGTCAGACATGACGAACTTGGTGTCTAGTTGTACGAGTTTTTGAAGACAAAATCAAGTGTGTGTAGTCTTATTGCATGAAGAGAAAGGCATATATATTCAAGATTACCCTTGGAGCTCGCATGCCACTTATACCTTTGGAACAATAAGCCTTTGCACTCTTTCAGATATCTTAAAAGCCTAGACGCCAGACAGAAAGTCTTGCAGAGGTGTTGGTGGTCGCTATCCGGCTTGGTCTGTTCTCCTTGTAACCCTCCATAAGTAAGTGCTTCTCTACTGACCTGGGAGCAGACGCAGCGGCCTAGCTTCAGGCCCATGGTCATCATCTTCACAGTTAGCATGACATAGCAAGGACAAGGACCCTGTTCTCCGGTGCGATGTGCCAACAAGATGAGAAACCGTGAGTGACTGAGTGTCAAGAGGCGCGTAGGAATTGAGTTGAAACTTCATTATAGTTAAATCAAAGATCTGACATGGCTCCTACATCAGTGCTTTAACAGGACCTCGACAACCATTACTGAGACAGAGGCTTGTCGCTGTTGAGACGCAGAGAAAAGGTTGCAGAAATGGCTGCATGAAAGGGCTACAGGAGGGTTTAGCAAGTGGCTATGCTCAACTGGCTAATAGTGTAGGCATTACTATGTGAGCTGAGCCTCAAATCGGGCACCGAGTTTAGCAGAGCGTAGGCGCCAAAATTGTTTGTACGATTATTGACTGGCGTATGGTGAAAGCAGAGGTCATGTGGCGCTTGTGTCTTTGGTATCACTTAATGATAACTTGATAAGTGGTCCAAATTATATTCATCACTTGCCATCTTGCCATCATCATTCTCAGCGCTTACTAGGCTTCCCGGATGCCAACGAGGCAGAATTGAGCGTCCCGGATATCGATTCTTTGTTCATGTCCGCACATCTGCCTTCAGTTGGTAGGATGCCAGCTATCCGTCACATACTTGCATTAAGTCTTCATTTACTGACGCTGTGACTTATGAGATGCCACCTACCCTATCACGTGCCTGCTTCAGAATACATTACATATTCACCCCATCAGATTAAGGTAGACAGGTGCGCGTTCGGTTCCTCATCGATTCACTCACCATGGAGTGCGCACCAGCAACCCAGCAATCGTACCTCCATCGCATGGCCCCAGAACTGATTCGCGCAATACTATGCAGCGTAGAAGGCCTTGATGGGCTACGCTGCGCTATCTTGACTTGTCGTTTGTTCTATGATGTATTCTCTAGGACACCGTCCGCCATTGTACATCAGGTCTTTTTCAACGAGCTGGATACGAACCATGTGCGCCGTGAAGCAATCGCTGCGCTCTACGCCTCAAAATTAGCCCTATCCAACCCGACGATTTCATTGATTCAGGCCTTCTTCCAAGACCATTTGGAGCAGAGGAATGAGTTCGACACCCAGCTAACAATCGAAGAGGCGGCTGGGGCCTCGAGACTGCACGCTGTGGTGTCCAGCTTAGCCGAGGAGTTCTCCAAAACAACATTGCTAAAACTTGCTGCAGCCTGTAGGCATGATTCTCATACTTTAGAACTTCTAACGTCTGAGAAGGCACGGATAATGCGTGCGCTGTACATGGCCGAGATCTTCTTCAACCTCTTCCGCACTACCTCCAGCAACATACCGGAGGCCGCACAACGCCAGTGCATGAACGACTTCCTTGTCCATTTCACTCCCTTGGAAGTTGAGCAGCTTGCTTGTGTCCATGATTTCCTCTTCCGCAAAGTTTCTCCAGGTAAGATGACAATCCAGCGGGCCTACAAAAGCTAACCTATCTACCACAATTTGACAGTTTTCAATGATGTGGCAGCTCACGATGTTCTTTGGGGAGAGTTTCAGGTAGAGCCTGCTCAATGGCTTGGCTCACCTGAGCTGCAGCTCTTCCTCTTCAAGGGCTTAGTTGCCATAAAGAGGGTAGCGGCAGCAAAGACGTATGCGGAACAGCAAAAGCTCTTCAACAACATCCCAGGTACCCGACGCCTCAATCTTCATAGAGCACTGAAAGAGGTCAACTACAAGGGGTCCACCACAGAAGACGCTTCGATTCCCGGCCCCTCAGCGTCGGAGGACTATAACCAAGGCCCGTTTGCAGCGTGGAAGTGGGCCCAAAAACTAGAGCCTCTGACGAACCGAGCGATGCTACGGAGTTTGGGGTATGCGATGTGGGACCAGGAGCGTCTCGACAAGTTGGGTATCTTGCAAGAGCAAGAATGGCAGCCACAGTGCCTAGTCAGAGACTCTTTACCCATCGATAGCCCAGTTCGTGAGGTCACCGATGAGAGATGGCTGGCTTCATGGAGAGAGAGGTCGCGTATACACGAGCAAGGGGGCACAGGGTGGTGGGATTTTGATGATGAGTCACAGGTTGTGTGGCCAGGACGGAAGAGGGGATCAGTCGCCGACAACACGCCAACATCGTTGGACGAGGCCAAAAGAGCGATCCTTGCGTTGAAACGGATTTGACTTTGTACTTATCCACGAACTTAACCCATCTACTGGATTAATTACCGTTTTCCCATGACACTTGGGCGTTGGTTGAGTGTTAATTTCTGATAATGAGCAAAATCATATTGCCCTATAAAGTAATCCTTTAAACCCCAGCCTTTGGACGGTTGATGAGTTCCTGGTTGTGTGTACATGACCTTCAAAAGAGCATGAAACGACTCTGAATAATGCGCAACGAAAATATAGCTGGATTAATTGATACTGTGAGACGCCCCCTTGACGGCCTCTTTCACTCTCTGAATTAAATCTTGTAGAAAAAGTTCTGATTCAGGTAGAGAGGGAATTATCCAGAAGCAATGCGGCAAGCCATCAAAGTGCTTTGTGTCCACAGCAACTTCGGAAGCGGAGAGTGCACTACTCAATATCTTCCCATCATCCCGCAGGGGATCATTCTCGCACGTAACGATATAGGTTGGTGGAAATCTTTTCAAGCTCTCAGTATCCAAAACTGGGTAGTAGTTCTTCTCATCAGGCTGGAGGCCAGCGCAATTGTACATCTCTAATAGACATTCTTTGTCGATAATAGGCACTCCTTCTTTATGTTCTTCGAATGAAGTGTACAGAGTCTTGTACTCCGTGGGGACATTCGAAGGATGGACGACCAATGGGCAGAGTGCGAAAATTCCTTTCACTGTGTCTGTAGGAACCGTGGACTGACCAAGTACGATCTTTCGAGTAACCGCCAGGGCTAATGCTCCACCGGCGGAGGTGCCAATGGTGAAGATTCTTGAGGGAGATACTCCAATGCTCTTCGCGTTTTTGTATATCTATATTGTGCGTACTAAATTAGGAATCGCTTTCATTCCTCGAATCTAGAATTCGGGTGTAACTTACCCACTCAAAGACAGTCAGGGCATCTTCAAGCTGCGCAGGCGCCTTATGCTCGGGAGACAGTCTATAGTCGACACTGATAACTGCAATATTCGCGTCGGCAGAGACTGTGCGACAAAAATCGTCTTCGGAATCCAAATCGCCCACGACAAAGCCGCCTGAGTGGTAGAAGACCCCCACAGGGGCATATTTCTCCTCAAAAGAGTTTGGGATATAGATTCGGATCGTGATACCGTTGATGTTTTCATCTTTGACCGTGAGATTGTCCCAAGTTCGAGTTCTTTGTGTCGCGAGAAAAGAAATCAGCCCAGAGAATTGGTTTCTCATCTCCTCAGCGGTGCCTTTCAAGACAGGCCGAGCGCCCCCCATACTCTCTTCAAACTAGCATCTGTGTTAGTCTCTCAAGGTTATTTCTTTCAACTAACTCTATAGGTGTCTGCTCACTTTATGCCAAGAATCCAGGTAGACCGCCATTATTGGGAAGTGATGAGTTGTTTTGTCTGCTATAGCGTTCTGTTTGACGAGCTCGCCTTCAGATCACCAATATGATTTGAAATAAATACAATTATAAAGGAGTCTATTTAGACCTAATCTGCCTGTTCCACCGCCGCCATCATAGTCTGCCGATGCCGTTTTCCCACCGGGATCTAGACTAAATATGGTTAATAGCCCAACTGCATCCGAAAACCCACACGTGATACCCTTCATCCGCCGGTATCCGATGGCCTTCCGGCCAGTGGGATGCCGACGAATTAGATTTCTGGAGATTTCGGATGTCACTGTGAGACAAGACCTGTTGAGCATTGCACTTTGATTTGATGTTTCAGCCCGGATTCGCAAGTGGGTTCTCCTCATACCCGGTGGACAGCCGGATCCCACCTCTATCAGCGTGTTGTCGTAGTGTGGCAAACGTTAATCCTTGTGACCTTGTGGCGTGAGTATCATCCCAGCGGCGCATTGATTGTGTTTCATGGAGAAAAAGGGAAGCCCCGAATTTCAATGGCACCCTCCACGAAGCGTGCTATGAATCTGGATGTTATAAGAAGGGTATGCCGCACAATTACGAGTGTCAAATCAACACTTGCCTACCTGCAGCTTGCATTGCATATCATTTTCCTCTCGCCCTGAAATTGAACCCATAAGCCTCCCCAAAATCGGTTCTATTCCATCAATAACATGGCCTCTGTTCCCAAGGAGACCGTGCTTGACGCCCTCATCGTAGGAGCTGGCTTTGGAGGGGTCTACCAACTCAAACACCTCCGTGATGCCGGCTACAAGGTCAAACTTGTTGACTTTGCCAGCGACTACGCCGGTGTTTGGTATTGGAATCGTTATCCGGGCGCCCGTGTCGACAGTGCCGTCCCCCTCTACCAATTTTCTGACCCGGACCTCTGGAACGAATGGAACTGGTCACAGAGGTTCCCGGGAAGCCAGGAACTACGCGATTACTTCACTTTCGTCGCCGACAAATGGGACCTTCGGAAAGACACAGAGTTCAAGGTCTACATTTCAAAAGCTACTTGGGATGATGAGACAGCAACCTGGACGATCGAAAGCGGGGGTGGAAAGATATACCGCGCGAAGTATTTCCTCCTTAACACCGGATTCGCGGCTAAACGATATACACCCGACTGGAAGGGCATTGACAAGTTCCCTGCATCTGCATGGGTCCATCCCTCGTACTGGCCCAAGGAGGAGCCGGACTTGACAGGGAAGAGAGTCGCCGTTATTGGAACCGGCTCAACGGGTATTCAGCTGGCCCAGGAGCTTAGCCAAGTAGCCAGCCAGTTTGTTTTATTCCAGAGGACACCAAACATGGCCCTTCCTATGAAGCAAGTCAATTATACGAAGCCTCTGACGAAGGAGAAATACCCCAAGGTGTTTGACGGTCGTTATGAGAGCTTTGGGGGCTTTGACTTCAGTTTCCTTTTCCTTCCGCGCGGCACTTTCGACGATACACCTGCAGAAAGGGAAATGGTGTATGAAGGGTTGTGGAGCCAGGGCGACTTTCAATTCTGGCTTGCTACATATAGTGATACGTTGTTTCAGGAGGCTGCAAATAAGGAGGCCTACAACTTTTGGAAGAAGAAAGTCAGAGCGCGAATTCACGACCCGCGCCTACAAGAGATTTTAGCACCAGAGACACAACCTTACAGCTTTGGCTGCAAGCGGATATCTCTGGAGAATGGATTCTATGAGATATTCAACCAGCCTAATGTCTCACTTGTTGACGTCAACGCTACACCAATTGTCGAAGTTACAGAGCGAGGAATCAAGACAACAGAGAAAGAGTGGGAGTTCGACTACGTTGTCTGCGCAACAGGTTTTGACGCCATTACAGGTGGTTTGATGAATATCAATATCCAGGGTCAGGGGGGACAGAAAATTGCCGAAAAGTGGAAGTCAGGGGCCAAGACATACCTCGGTATGGCCACGGCTGGCTTCCCCAATATGTTCTTTACCTACGGACCTCAAGCGCCTACAGCGTTATGCAATGGTCCCACGTGCGCAGAAGCACAAGGAAGTTTTATACTTAAGGTAATGGACCATATGAAAGAGAGGAAACTGCAAAAGGTAGAGGCAGGAAACACTGCAGAGGCAGCTTGGGGCGATGACGTTCGCAAGTTTGCTAATATGTCTCTACTCCCATCCACAAAATCGGTAAGTAGCCGCTATACATCTATTACGCTCTTCGGAGTTGAGATTTGAAGCTGATAACATCTACAGTGGTATATGGGTGATAACATCCCGGGAAAGCCGCGCGAGTGCTTAATCTACCTCGGGGGAGTCCCTAACTACTACAAGTCACTGAAGGAATGCTCCGAAGGAGACTACACGGGATTTACATTTACTTAGTGAGACTATGTTGCTGTTCGGTAGTAGTTTTCCAGTAGTAATGCCAGGATGAAGTTCTCATACGCTCCGATTCGTGCCTAATGACTCTAAAAGCATCCGCTCTTCTGATGTCTGTTTCATGATACCTTAGTCCATGCCTGCAAAGCAGTTCCATTGAAGGTAAACGATACTTTTTTATCCCCGAGGAAAAGAAAAGTAGTAGCGGCTCGTCACATTTGAAGACAGGCTATCCAGGGCCGCAAGACTACTCGTCTTGACAGCAGACAGCTATCGGTTGTCACTGTACATGAATTGGTAGATGACCATCGGACAGGTGATTTATTAGTGCCAGAGAAGTCAAGCCTCGGTGTTCTTGATGACCATTTTGACGAATATGATAGGATCTAAGCCAAGTCCAAGTTAGACTACATGCTAGCTCGCACACTATTAGTGCCATCCGAATCATGGGATATTTAAACCCCCGCATTTCGCACTTTGTTGGCGTCCCCCCGCATCCCCCCGCAAACCCATTCGCCCCTGGATCGTGGTAACTGTGAGATGCAACCAACGCTGAGCGTTAATTTCTTGATTCTCAATTAATCATTCAACGGCCCTCCAGCTGGTTCGACAACGACTCAAACATGCCTACAAGGAGAGTCCACCCTGACCAACGACGCCGCTGCGTCCGTGCCTGCACCAGCTGCAAGAAACGAAAAGAGCGATGTGATGGTCGCCAACCGTGTCAGCGTTGTGTTGAAAGAGGCGCCCATTCTCTCTGCAGAATCCCTGGTCTGAGCTCTCAGTCTCCCCGTTACTCATCAGGTCCAACTCTAGATAGCCCAAATAGCGAATCACCACATCAAACAACAACAGACACCAGACTCCAGGATCCACCTTCAAGGCTCCCCTGCAGCCCGAGCAATCGCCTTCTATACATCCCTCATATTTCAAGGCTGATGTTGGATCATCGGGGTACCGGGATGTTCATGGGTGACGCCTCAAATATTTGCTTTCTACAAACCATTCGTGGGATTGTTTCTGATAACTTCGGCCCCTGCGGCCTCGTCAACGACTCTCTGCGCCATTCTATGGTAGAGGAGCCCGCCTGGGGAGCCTCTCACGACGATCCTGCACTCGACTTTCCAAAGCGCCCACCGAAGCCAGCCAGAGACGAAGTCGAATACTTTCTTGTCTGGTTCAAGCGGACAACAGAATGTGTCTTGGCACTCTTCGATGATCATAAGCTGCAGGAGAATATATTCAATTGGCTTGAAAACCTCTCAGATTACTGTCATTCAACAGCGGCGTTGCATCATTTGATCATCGCCCTTGGTGCTCAATCATGTCCTGAGGACTTCGACGACATTGCCGAGGCACATTTCCACTATGGGCGTTACATCGTGTTGATGAGACTAGTTGACGGCCCAAGCATCGCCATGGTCCAGTGTTACGCCCTCATAGCCATGTACCTCTTGGCCAGCTCGCGCAGAAATGCGGCCTTCATGTATCTCGGCATCTCGGTACGCGGAGCTTACGCGCTGGGTTTACATAGGCAAGATGTTTCCGCGCTCCACGATCCCACCGAGTACATGGCCCGCGAACGGCTCTGGCGAGGGCTCAGAATTCTGGACAACTTCATGAGTGCGTCTCTGGGCCGCCCCCCAGCAACAAACGAGACTCGCAATACACGGTCTGGTCCACATTACTCTGCTTCCAACGATCTCTGCTGGATATTCGAGAATATCTTGACGGAGATTTATGCTAAGCACAATGTCACCACTGATCGTCTGGAGAACATAAGCGAGCTTCATCGGGAATGGTCATCAAGGTTTACGAGTGGTCTCGAGACGGATGGAATACTACCAGACATGCGCGTCTATCAGCAGGGAGATGCAACCCTGAACATCGGGCTTCTTCATCTGAAAGAGGCATACTACTGGACAATAATGTTGCTCTCTCGGCCATTCTTAGTGGAATATGTCACCCTTCGATTAAAGCAAAGACGGACGGAGCAAACAGACTTTACCGGCTCGACTGATACTTCACGACAGTTCTCGGCTTCCCACGCTATACTGGTCCAGGCTTGTATTGACTCGGCAATCCGAACGGCTAAGCTGCTCCACCCCATGACGTCTTCACCTCTCACTCCCAAAAGACTCCCCTACGTTGTCAACTCGGCCTTCGTAGCAGCATTGGTGCTTGGATTGGCCTTATTTTCTGACCTGGATGACACCGAGCCCATCATCTCCCATATGGAAGCTTGCCACGACGTGCTGTTCAAGTTTAGCAAGCACGATGCTGTAGCGAAAAGATATCTGTTCATCACGGAGAAGTTACAAGAAGTCTGCTGTGAGAACTTGAAGATTCGCCAAAAGGAACAAATGGAGAGTAAGGGTAAGATGTTGCATATGATCTTCGGTAGCATTGACAACGTCGGCTCGCTAGAGCACCAAACCTCTCTCAGTGGTGGAACGTCCGGGGGTGGGGGGTCGCACATCTTGTCCCCCGAGTCTCAAACGTCAACGCAAGCAGGAAGCTTGTTTTCAGAGACGATAAGTGCTCCTATCGATAACGGGACCGAGACACAAAACATGAGCGATGAACAGGCCTGGATATACAGTCTGTCCGAAGACTTCATAAACTCGGACAACCAAGTCGCAGATTTCGTATCGCCCAGTACCCTGTGGCTAGATGGAGATTGTGAGCTCACTGTAGAAGTTGGAGATAACTGAGCTAGAGAATGACTGTTGGGAAATAGTCTAAGAAGTTGAGATTAATATGAAAAAAAGATCTTTATAATATTCTTACCGATCTTGGTATGAAAAATCGGCCCATCGAGGAGGTGGGCCATTAACATGGGTATTGACTCAAAACGAATCCGTTTTCTAAATTCCGCGCGCGCCTCGGTATGAAATTAGTGCTGATATAAGATTCCAGGCCAAATGAGTTCTTGGCTGCTCCTCTCCTTGATTCTCGATTCCCAACTAGAAATGTACGGTAACATCCCCCTTCACTCGACTGCGCTTCTTCCATCCATCCCGTATTCGCTCCACGAGCCAAAGTGGCCCTCAAGATGTCGTCTAGGTCATTGTCCTGGCTGGTGCCGTGCTTTATCGGCGAAGTAGCCTTTCTAGGGATTTTTATTCTCTTTCTCCTTGGAACTACAGCGCAGGCTATTACCAAACGAGTTCTGGGACTTGCAGTCTTAGGTGCTGCCACCTATTTTCTAGAACATTTAGTTGTGCAGATATGCCTATCCAGGGACCGGCCACTTTGGGCCGGCACTGCCGGCTCGCTGGTCTGGATTCAACTCCTCAGTGCATCAGACCTGATGTTGGCGCGTCAGGTCGACTACTCGAAGCTGCCACCTAGCCAAGCTCCAGCACATGCCGCTGGTATCCTGTGGAACATGCGTCGTATCGGTACACGGTGGCAGGTGAAGACCGCTGCATCGACGAGCCATCAGTCCCGCGCCGGTTTTGTCTTGCGCCGCGTCGCTACTACGCTGGGAGCCTACCTTGTTGTCGACTTCCTCGTCTCGATGCCGCCCCCTGACCCCTCGCTCGTACAAATCAGCAAAGCAACTCTCTTCTCGCTGCATGAACTACACGTGGAGGATGTTGTCTTCCGTATTTCTATGACCATTGGATTCTGGATTTCGGTTGGCGTTCTTGTCCTTTGTATGAACAATCTCGGAGCAATATTCGCTGTGCTCTTGAATATCAGCTCGCCTGAAGATTGTCTACCGGTGTTTGGGTCATTCCTTGACGCGTTTACCGTGCGACGCTTCTGGGGGTAATGTTTCTCCATCCTCTATAGATTGCCGTGCTTAAATATTAACCTTGCTTGCCTCACAGCGTTACCTGGCACCAGATGTTCAGGAGTCTCCTGACCGGCCACGCTGACCTAATTGTCGACAATTGTCTCCCATTCTTGTCCCGTCACTCACTGATATCCCGGTACATGAGACTTGCTATTGCCTTCTTCATATCTGGCGCAGTCCACTACCGTGCAGACCAGCTCATGGGTGTTCCAAACAATGAGAATGGTGCCATAATCTTCTTTATGCTACATGCTCTTGTCATTATGGCTGAGGATACCATTGCGCCGGTAGTCTCTGCTGTCCTGCCCTTATCGGTCCGTCGCGTCTTGGGCTTATTCTGGGTTCTGATCTTCTTTGTTTGGTCAACTCCAGCTTGGAGTTATGCCAACACCAGGGTGGGCAATGATGCTGCCAGCTTGCTGCCCGTCCGGCTTATTGGACCTTGGGTAGCGCGGTATCTCAACGCAAGCTAAATCACCCAATGTATACAAAGGCTAAGAATGCCTATGTTCAGAACATTGTGTTGCATTCAAAACTGAGACGGGATACAGCGCAAAGAGGAAGAACAATACGCTTACGCAAACATGGTAGAATCCTTCTATTACTTGGCAATCTTTCCGGTAGATGTTTCAAGTGGCCCGCAATAATTGATGGCATTTACGACAATATCCCATGGTACGAATTTGCTAAAACCATACAGTCTTTTGGTACAGACAGTCAGTCAGAGCACCTTAGTTTATCCAATGAACACTTTTATGTTCTATTAATGGTTTTAAGACACCAATATATAGCATCTTCTATTACTCTTCCATGCAGTGTGCTAATTCAAGCCTTTTTCTCCATTACCTGTTATACTCTGTCGGAACTGCAGCGCTTTCAGGTCCATCAGCATGCTTGCGACTTTCGTCTCCATGCTCTACAGATGTATGCGTGATCCTACGGTTTCAACCCCAACAGCCCTCAATGGTATTATGAGACCATAAGAAGAGGAAAGGAAAACAATGTCATCAACAAACAAGGCATGCCATAAAATTACTAAACAAAAAAAAACCAAGAAACCCGTCCCGCCAGGCGCTCTCCGTAAACCTCGGCGGCGGTGGTCCTGGCCCAGGCCTCGGCCGGCCTCTCCGCCTCTTCTTCCTCTTCCTCTTCCCCTCTCCCCTCCTCCCCCCCCTCCTGCTGCTGCTGCTCCAGATGCTGCTCCAGATGCTGCTCCTGCTTCTGTTGTAGCTGTTGCTGTTGTTGCTGCTGCGGTCGGCGTTGTTCCTACCAACGCCCCCAGAACTCCAACCCTCATCCGGGTGGGAGGATCAGCCCCAGCCAGACCCCCAGGGCACCGAACCAGGCGGCGATTTCTCCGGCGGTGATACCGGCGGCCACCATGACCGTGGCCGTTGTTATTGTCGTCTCCGTCGTCATCGTCGTCATCATCGTCATCATCGTTGTCACGACGCTCACGATGGGAGCCATTTCGCTGTTGCTGCTGCTGCTGCTGCTGCTGTGGTTGTTGCTGCTGCTGCCGCTGTGGCTGTTGTTCTTGCTGCTGTTGGGGTTGTTGCTGCTGCTGCTGCTGAGGCTGTTACTGCTGCTACTATTGGGGTTGTTGCTGCTTCTGCTGCTTCTCTGCCAGTGTGTGTGTGTGCGTGTGTGGTCTCTTCTCCTGCGGACAAAGAGCGAAGAGAAAAAAAAATTGCAACTAGGGATAAATGTATGTTTTATTAAAGACTGGTTTGCTTAGGGGGATCTTCCTCGAAGAATGAGTTTCCTTCCTAAACATCTAAAAGGCAGTAGGTAGGTGATGTGGGGGCTTCCATGACAAGCTCCTTCCTCGTCAATGAGCTCGACATAGAAGCGAGTACCTACCTAGGTACATCAAGAGAGGCCACTACCTGCTACGTAAGGCCAATAAACCGGTACTGAGAGGGATCCTCTTCAAAGTATGTTCCCAACTTGATCCCGCATGGCTTCAAGGCTTTCTGGTAGTAAAGTGCCTCCATGGCAGCTTTTTCCATTATAAGGCGAACCAACTCTTTGTTCTTGGGTCCATGAACTACACCCACTACCGCCTTAATATACTCTCTGGTCTTCATTATCAGTTGTTCACTCATTTCCGCGTCTTCGCCATATCTTATTGTTCGGCAGGCGAAAGTTGCTCTCGCAATGCAGCAGCTGCGGATGTTATGCTCGACGGCGACTAGATCGAGTGTGCCTGGATCGAGTTTGTCGAGCTCCTTGCGGACTTGCAACATGATGACATCAACACTCGCTAAAACCCTTCGTTCCTCTTCTCTGCGGATTTGCTTAAAAGGTGTGTCGTGAAGATCTTCGTAAAGAGGAAGGAAGGGTGGAGGGCCATTTGGATGGATCTTTTGCCCCAGCATCGGATGTTTAGGCTTCGCATCGGCCAGTTTCTCGGTTCGTTTGCCGAATCGCAACCAGGAAGGCAGGCACCGCCGTATGCCGGTCTCACTGGAAGTCCCCATTCTCGTTGAGGGGGCGCCACTGTTCATGTCGATGACGTGTTTATCAGTTGTGATCTTTTGCAGATGGAAGGAGCGAAGAAAACCAGGCGGGACAGGGACCACGCCCATGAATGAGGCGGACGGTGCTTTATGTACCTGTGGAAAAGCACATGTTCATCATGGTTTGCGCAGCAGTCTTTGGAAAGTAGCCGCTAATTGTGCATGTCTCTTTGAGTTAGGCGGCCAAGGTTCAAGCCTTTTGCCTTGGTTCTATGTTTGTGGCGCAAGGAACATTCGCTAAGAAGAGTATCTGCCTCGCTCCCAAGTTCGGGCAAAGTCCAAAGTACGTAATTCGAGGCAAGTACGTATGCACTCCGGTTCTGACACAGTTGAGGCACTTGTGCGGGTTGGATGCGTATCTCCAGAGGCAAGAAGCAGGTGCGTAGATAAATCCTCGTACGCTGGAGTCACCAGGTCTCAGATCAAGGCGCCTTCCCTCCTCGATGCTTTCACTAGAGAAGAAGGTACCTACCTAGTAGAGATGGCCCACCAGATCACATGGTAGCCCTCTTTCTCTGCTCTACTGGCGACCATGCCCCCCCCCCCCCCCC